CCCTCTCTCCCCTCTTCATCCAATCGACAGGGGAAAAAGGTACGAATCAGTAAGCTTCGCGAAGATCCCGCCATCGACGATGACGTCAACTCACGCTCTGATTCGACGGGCAGCGATAATCTGGGGTGCAAAGCACACGGAGAACCAGCGGATGATGATGGCGTCACCTGGATGACCATCGCGTAGTCCAGCAGCACGAACCAACGAAAGATTGCAATTGAAGTTGGCGTCAACATGGACTCTGGCCGGATCATTTGTTGATACGCTTGGTTCCCCATGCTTCACTCTGTTCTCTCCCTCTCTCTCTCCTTCTCCGCCATGACATGCAATCAAGAGATCGCATAATTTTGGAACCCCCTGCGCGTCACAAATGTGACGAACCACTTCCCGAACCCGTGCTATTTTTCGTACCCCTTTTTGCTTGTATCATACCAACCCCATAAAAACCCCGTTTCGTTTTTTTGATTTTGGGTACCGCGTTTTGACTCCCATCTTTCAGAAGCTTTTTTGACTCCCGGGTTCTGCTTTTCCTTTCTGCAATTCGGGAAATACATAGGAAATTACGTGCGCCTTAGCGAGCGCACTGGGAATTGGGCTCGACAGTTGGGAATTCCGGGATAAGCGGAACTTCGACGTGTCCTTTTCGTGTGTGTGAATGTTCTTGGTCRCGTCGGGGAGAACTCTCGGAATATTGCGTGAATACRAATAGGCGTAGGATTTTGTTTTCCCGCGTCGCTTTTTCTCGCGYGGATATGGTGATTTCAATTTTGAATTGGTTTAGGACAGAGGCAAGCTGTAACTGTTTCGGTGCCTTTTTTTCTCTTTTTTGGTTGACGGCGCCACACATGCAAGAGCTTTCTCCTCTCTGCCCCCCCGACATCGCTCCCTCCCGCGCTCCCTTCCCCTTCTCCCTCCTCTTTCTCTCTCCCCGTAACTGTTTTCTTTCTCTCTCTCTTTCTCCCGCTCTGCTCTTTGCGTGCCCATTTCCCTTTCTTGATCATCTGAATCTTGGACCCGTCTTTCGCTACTTCTCGCCCCTTTTCTCTTTTCACCCTCTGAGTCCAACTCACGACGCCCGGTCGATCCGTCGATAACTCCCGCTCGCCAATCAGGTGCGTGGATCAATAGGATCTTCCTATTGCGCGACGAATCTGATTGGTTGAACCTTGAGTTCCGAGGGATCAACGTGGCGTTCACAGAGCACTCTTCTCAAAGTCTTCTCCTCCTGCTTCTCCTMTTACACCTCAGCTTTCCCGTCGCCTTCTCCCCCGTCTGTCTCCCTTGTCGCAACTATAAAACCCGCAAGCGCGCCCGTAAATCTCTCTTACGTTCTCGACTCTCAAGCCAGCTTCCGGGAAGCAGTGGCTAGGTAGAGTGTTTGGTGCGAGTCGGAAAGTCCTGTCGGGCTGACGATAGGCTGGCCGGTTGCGCACTGGATCTCCACGACGGACTGTGGGAATTGGGCGAACCGTGTCGAGTCCACGACAGCGGGGTGACGATCGCAGTGGTGGGAGTTAGCACGCGACGGCCGGGACCGTCGGTGCAGGTATGAGGATCGATGATTGGAGTTGAGTGAGTGATTGGCCCAGGGCCATACTGGAATTAACGGCGAATGCACCTCTGTTGTTGCAGATCTTTATCTCTGGCGTGAGTGTACGGCGGCAACGCCGATCGCCCCTCTTTCAGATCTTGCCCCCCCCCCCCCCCCAATCTCGACTCTCCTTCCTCACCTCCCCCTCTCCTTTCTGTCTTTGAATAATGATGTGCCGCGGATCGGTCCCTTAGTTATATGCATGATCAAGCTGCTGAAGTGTCTTCTTTCACTCTCTCCCTCTCTCGCGTGTTGAAAGGGATTGTTTGTGAGTTGCGCGAGTGTTTTCTTTTCTTGATGACGTCGCAAGGTCTTTACAATTGATTGATATGTGGACTGACCAGTACCCTCCGATCGGGCACCAGCCTCCCGTACCTCCCGTCCCAACATGGCCTTTTCCCTACAACGAGGGAAGGACACGTGTATGTGAGTGGGACATACGAGAAGCCGTTGCACAAATCGGCGGACGATACTACTTTCCTCTGACAAATCGTTGTTCAGGGTTCGTAGAGGCTGGGTTTGTCGTTATCGATATGCACTTCCCACCTTACTCGATATTGTTGCCATTCAACGAGTTGATCGTCATCCCGTGGACGACAGTAGAACTCCACTGGCCACGCACTCTATGCACCGAATGCCAGCGTTTTGAGCGCGAATCCAGGGGTTTCCACTACCGTGTGCGGAGTGAAGACGAGCATAAAGAAAGAGCCACGCGGGTGAGACCATCCACGTCGGACTCGAAACTGACCAGCGAACGACGACGAGATTTGATACGAAAACGAGACACGCGGAGCGTGCCAAAGCCTTTCTGTTCTAAACGACGAGCAATAGCCCGGTGGGAAGCCCGACAATACTTTTTGGATTGAATTTGGATTTTTCTCTTTTCGCGCCGTGCCCGCGCGCGCATTCCGCGACGCGCGAAAGCAATCGACTTGCTTCATTGGACCAACATGGGGGATTTCAGTTCCATCTGTGTCCCCACACTGAATTTCCAAAAATCCTTGTCACACCCCATCTAACTGTTTTTCTCGGCCTCTTTCCGCACGCCTAACCCTCCGAACGAAAGACAGTACAGGGCGTGAGGTTGCGCGTCACATGTCCGCCATCATGTGGCCTAACATGGTGCGACCGGAGTCTCGTTCCCTCTGTGGGACGGTCTGAGGGGTGGGTTGGGAGAGAGATCGCTAGTGTATGTCTGGATCTGGAGTAGAATTGAAGCCTCCAGACAGAATGACGGTAGCATCCCTTGGAAGAACCTGTTGGAGTGTCATTAATAGGGGTTGATTGGTAGTGCTTTGAGTGGGAAGGGAAGGAGAAAAAGTTTTACGACCGCGGGAAAGGAAAAGTCAATAGAATTCCGATTATTCCGTTGATGTCAACCTGTTCTTACTCTCAATTCGACGTTGGGCCAGTCAGCGAAAGATTTTGGGTAGTGGAGGGGAAGGGAGGGCACAAAAAGAGTGAGTAAAGGGTACAGGTGGCAGGCACGAAATAGAGACGAGTGGTTAGGGCTTGGCCCGGATGGATGACAGTTACGGTCGAAGTCACATTGACAGCAGTTTTTGGCTACCTGGCGGGAGGCCTTCTTGAGGAGCGCGAGGGGAGTATAAGGAAGACAAAGGTATAGTCGTGTGTGATACGCAACCTCACTCCCCGCACGGCGTCCTGTACCCGCAGGAACGCCAAGCAGAGTAATTGGGGGGCCGGTGTGGCTGAGCATTTTGGCCGGGGGTTGAACCGCTAGGGCGAAACTGGGGTTCTCGCCTCAGTCCCGAGGGTCATTTCGGAAACTCTGGCCTACTGGGACCACCGCAAATTTCCAAAATTTAGAAAAGCGTAGAAGGTTGGGGCATGGGAAAAATTCCGACCGTTGGCTTAAGGACATTAACACAAATCATCTGACACAAGATATAACTGCAAAGACTAGACAAAAAGACAATGAATCTATCGCGTCTTTACTGTTAAGTTCACGTCGCCCTTTTTGTGGGGGCCAAGGAGACAGGGGACACTCTAGGCATCCGAGTCAGGTCCACGGAGCCCGTCCGATCTGTTCAATCACTCGTCATTGGACGAAGGTGGGGGCGAAGGTACCCAGGTCCGGAAGTTGGTGGGGAGAGCCCCCGTGTTGCGGGAGAGATCCGGGAACCGGACGGACCCTTCGTAACCCAGCACCAACCTCAGCCAGGAGCACGAGTTTCCCAGCTGACACCAACGCCAGTTAAACTGAGGCCTCCAAGTGGTGTGGGTTGAAGACCACGGAAGCACCGTCAACTCTGTGTAAGGCAGAATCAGCGAGGGGGAGGAAATCGATTAATCAGAACAAAACCTGTTCCCACCCGATCGGTCCGCAATAGTGCCCTTCGTACATCCACATCATAGTAAGGACCGTCCTCATCCGCGATGGGAAAGGGAGGAAGTTCGCTCTGGTGGATCAGTATAAGGTTCGAACACGGGCAGTTACTCACGCTCATGTTCAGAGTCACTGTGGCCAACCTCGACTCCATACAAGTCTCTACTCGTCCTACACTGCCCGCTCCCTATATTAAGAGGCAAGCAGATACTCACAACATCCTCAACCAAAATTGTTACCTTGTCAAAACGGTGATGGCCGGGAGGCAGAGAGATTGGGCGGATCGACATAGTCCTCACACCCGATGTCCCTGG